AAATATATTAGCGCTTCAGATGTTTTATGGAAACGAATATCGTTTCCGTACATACCAAACAGTTTTTGTTTCTGGAAAATATTTACAGCTACAATAATTTGCGATGGTCAACGACAAGAAATTCATATAAACGACATCGATGTTCTACATATCTATGAAAGTGCCATAAAAACAACGAATAACACACAGCTTTTTATAATACTAAATGAGGGGACGGTCAGCACGATCAGTTGCAGTGTCACACAGAGCTTCAAATTACAAAGATCCGTGAGCCACTTCCACTGCGCCTGTCATCCGAGATATAACTTGACAAGTCCCATGTGCCTGTAATTTCGCCAGCACCCTTAACTATTTAGATTAGAGTAGACCTATTTCTGCCGTCAAGCAGTAATGTAATTTCTTACATTACTGCTTGACGGCAGAAATAGGTCAGGTGGTAGTACTTTCCTGGACGTACTCTTTCACAAGGAGCTCTACTGCTACTATCAGCTACAAGAATCATCTTTTTCGAAGAAAATTTACTTCTCAATAACTTCTGAATTTCACATATCAAACTCTCACAAATTTATTAATAAAGAAAACATAATAGAAAAATTCAAAAGACATTCCAAGACGTAATAAACTTAAAACATAATTTACAACACAGTTGGATAACACAGTTTGGGCACAAGCAAACTCAGAATTTTAGCTAGCTTCGCTACTTCGACTGTTATTATTTTCGTATTACTAATAATTTTGTTATTGAATGGATATCACGGGTCGGTAAAAGTAGTGTAGGGCGCCCTCTGGCCAGATGGAGTGACGATCTGCGAAAGGCTGCTGGCAGCAGATGGATGCGATAAGCTGAGACCGGGCGAAATGACGCATATTGAAAGAGCCCTATATCCAGCAATGGACGATATGTTGATGTTGATAAATATTTAGTTATGGTCCATAGCTAACGTGATGGTTCCGGGAGAGACGAACCAGACAGCGGGCAGTGCAGCCAACACCGTAGACTCACATTTACAGCATCCCAAACAAGACGTTTTTCCCAACCGACGGCTCGGAAGATTCCACCCGCTAAGCCAGCTTGACAAACAATAATACCATAGTATAATAATACAAGTATGTGTGCACGTCCGCCGTGCGCCGTGTACGGGCGCACACATTCGCATAATAATGAAAGACGAATGTATCGCCAGATTATGCGAATGTGTGCGTCCGTAGCCCGTACATGACACGCGGCGGACTCGCACACATACAAGCCACACTGCTACGTTTATGTGAAATTACCATACTTGTCTTATTATACTATGATAATACGATGATACTGCTGAGATCTGAGGCAATCGAGCTATATAAAATGCCAGGCATCAAGGTGTTTTATTTTTTCATCCTCATTCAAAGGACTGATTTTCGCATTCAGTACACAAAAAGGCAAAAAATGTATAAATAACGCAACAAAATTATTTACACACTATTTCGTTTATTTACCAAATACATAGATTTACAACAGCGCATAATTTTAGTGCAGTCTTATCGAGTGTAAAGAGCATAATTTAAGGAATACGTAACCCAATGCACATAACTTAATTATAAAATAGAAAAAGGTCGCACACAATATTTATGTAAAAAAACCAAAGCTATCAAATCAATTTTGAGGGCGTCTGTAGTCGCAAGTTAGAATACCGTGAAAAAGTCCATAAAAAATTTTATTCTTAAGAACTAAAGTGAGCTGATGTTAGACATTTTCCTGTAGTAACCGATACTTAAATCACATTAATAAATCTACACCTGAACCATAGTATAATAATACGAGTATGGTAACTTCATACAAACATAGCACCGCGGTTTGTGTGTGTGCGCGGCGGGCGCGCGTGTGGATTGTACAGACGCACACATTCATGTATCTCGCGATGCACTCGCAGTCCATGGCGCTTAGATAGTTCCACGCGTTTTTCATTATTATGCGAATGTGTACGTCCGTACTCATATTTAGTACACATATTGTACGGTCGCGCACATATTTAGTAGCAGTAGAGCTCTTTGTGAAAGAGTTCGTCCAGGGAAGTACTGCCACCTTACCTATTTCTGCCGCCGAGCAGTAATGTGATCATGTGACGGGCGCAGTGGCACTACCCTTCAGATCTTTGCGATTTAAAGCTCTGAGTGGTATTGCAACTGTTATGGATAGGCGTGTCGCTTACCACCAGGTGCACGACTTGTTCATCCCGTTATTGATATTATATGTATAAGCCGCACTGCTACGTTTATATGGACTTACCATACTTTTCTTATTATACTACGCCTGAACGATGATAGTGTTGGGCTAATAGAAGTTGAAAAAACTACCAGCGTTCATAAGATGAAATTTTGTAAGTATTTAATTTATTAAATATTCATAATGTTGGCCGGTCCCGAGCGGACGTTGAATAAGTAATTTGTGTAATTCAGAGGGTACAAACATTTATAAGGTTTAATTAATATCGTGAATGAATTTGAAAATTTACCCGAGATTAAATAAAAGAAATAATATTTATTAATCAACATAATAGGTCGCAAAAATAGAATATTCTCTTTACTATAAATGCAAAGAAATTGACAACGGGGCACAATCTGATACACTCCGATCAGAACCAATTTAGATTAGTTCATTTCCGAAATTGGTCCGACCAAAAATCGGGGATGTGATCACCAAGGACCTCAGGGCCACCTCATCTAACGCCAACAAAATATGTTACTCCGCCGAGCTCGTCAAATTGTTATTTAAAAAGATTTAATCCTCAATCAGTATGACATTTAGTAGTTAATCAGTATGACTTTTTAAATATAATTTCCTTTTAAAAAAATATTATTATTTCCTTTTAAAGCTAAAATAATGTTGCCATGAAGCATAACAAATGCAATATTACTTATATACTAGAGCATTCTGCACAGTTAAGCAGGAGCTGAACGAGAGTTGTGACGTAGAAGCCTGAGTGGATCAAAACTTAGTAATGACATTTGCCCAACACTAATTACAGGTGTACATACGTACATATACTCGTATGTGTAGGTAAATATGTCGCGAATCGCTATTAGTAAAACGTTGTGAAAGACTAAGATTCTTAACTGTAATTTTATTAGTGAGTTAACATTTAGAAATTAAAAACTATTTTCTCATTCAATGCTCGACTATACCTACTATAAATTGGTTCCTATATTAATTAGGACCTACCACTCTTTTAAATTTGCTTACCCTGAAGGGCACACGTTAGTTGAAACAAATTAAATTTACAAAATAATAACGAGAACCTAAAATCTTGATAAATTTCTACCAAAACTTGAAAATATTCTCCTAAAAATATTTTTATAGTCCGTCCGTAAACTAGTTACGAAATTCTTAACAAATTCCTAAAACTTGTTTTAGAATTACTAAACTTGCTCGATTGATGAAAATTTTAAAATAAATTAAATAGTAATTATTTATAAAATTGTTTTAGAATAATTTTTACAAACTTCCCACGAAATAATTTTGGAACAAAAAGTCGAAAGATATTTTATTTAAATACTTATAATTAATCATAAACACATATTCGTAGTATGTAGACTAATATGTGATAGTTGATTTCACATGTTGAGCTTCCAATTCCATCATTTTTTACTTAATTACATATAAAAAGTAGTTTTTAACCTAAGATTGATAACAATGCGGGCTTGTCTCGTAACACAGCCGTCAAATACGAGACTAAAGAGCTTTGTAGTCTATTCCGAACTCACATAGATTGAATTTAAGGCACAAATTGTCACATTTCTGAACATCATAAAGTTTCTACAGTTATCGAAATGAATGAATGTATGAACGAAATGTTCTTTATTTATATTATTCCAGTTATCAAATACCGTAAGGTGCCAAATTTAAGCAAAGAAATGTATTTAAAATTTGTAAATGATGTATCGAAAAATTTTCGATTTCGAATTTCTATTTCCATACGGTGCGCTGCAACATTGCAACATATAAAAAAAAATTAAAATTGCATTGTTTGGACTCAGACGGCGAGGGAGAGCATCGAAGAGGATCTTATATACTTGCCAGCGCACATAGGTGAGGTACATTTCTTACGATACGGCGCATACAAGCGGAATCCGGCGCATAAGGCTAAATTTACATTGCGGCGTAACAGAATGAAACGCTAGCTTCAATGTCGCCTCGCTGCGCGAGAGGCGCGCACGGTCGCTAGAATGCTCGGGCGTTCGTGGGAATGCTCAAACATTCGCGATCTTTCTGGCGACTGCGCCTAGAGGTTGTAGTATTTCGCCGACGTTCGACGTCACACTGCACGTGTCTTCGCGCCACTTCCCGCGGATTCGCCTGGCGTCGTCGCCGACAGCAGCTGCGGAATTCTCGCGAATGCGCGAGCATTCTCGAGGAAGACGCGAGACGTGATTTTTGACTCGTATCTGATTTGTACGTTACACAATTGACCATAAAGTTCACTGCGCTATGTAAAATATCTTTACAAAAATTTGATTCCATTCCGTTCCGCCGCAATATAAATTGAGCCTAACAGTTAGATTCCGTCGCAAACCGGTGCCTCCCGCCACGGCATCCTTCTAGCGTGCTTTTCAATAACGCGGAGAAAAATACACTGCAAAACTGAGGTCTATCTCGGAGATTGAAATTCATGCCTTATTTCAATTGAGATAGCACAAAATATACTATTATTATATAATTGATAAATTTATCCTCTACCTTCCCGTCGCATTTCGCTGGCCCTTATATGCACACTATTCCAAACGAAATCAACACGATATCGTAATTTTATAAATACAGTGTGTTAATTTGCATTCTCGCCATATATAAGATATTAATAATATAAATAAATCTAAATCATCTAAAAATATTTAAAAAAATATTCTGTTCAATATGACTACATCCACTCTACAGACTAGAGCCACTCGACATTTCATTTCATATTTCTTGATCGCTTAATTACCTATTCTTTATTATTATGATTACGTATTGTTATAATTTATTAATTATTTAGAATAATTAGGGAAGTTGACTGAAAATGTTCGTTTTTTTTTTGTAATTTTGTTTTGGTACTTACCCATTAATACCTACAAGACGTGGTTCACTCACTCACTGGCTATGCAAAAATTCGCATGTTTTGTCGAGAGTTTCGTTTGAACTTTCCTAAGCACTAATTTAAAGCCGACATAAATTCACTTCACAAATTTTAAAGCGGAGATGGTTTTTGCGTGAAATTGTTCGACATTCGTAATCTTCTTCGTGTAAACTAACCGTTGCACATCACCCTTAGTCGTATATACATATAATAGTCGCACACTTGCCGCCCATAGTAAGAAGCACTTGATGGTAATACAATTCTTCATGAACAGAAAAATCTCTTGTTAAAAATCGTAAAAAATACAAGAAATCACGCGTGCATTTCACGATACGACTAAATAGAATTGATCAATAAATTTATTGCGGCTATCCCAGTCGCTAAACTACATACGCGCGTGCACTTAATGCGTTAGAGGAAGAGATAGCAACAATTTGCCGGGCCCTTTTTGAACTTCTTTGTCGGCGTTCTACGTACAAGTTTTATACACGTGTCGTACAAAAATTAATAACCTTTGGATCAGGTGATTACGAATCGATGTTTACCGCAATTGAATAAAAATAAGAATTTTGGATTTTTTTGAGATTTATTTTTTTAGTACATATGGCGAGAATGCAAATTAACACATTGCATAAACAGATTTTGGAAAACCAAGATAACAACTGATTATCGAAGTTGAAAGCAGAATAATGGTGAATTTAAAGAACAAAATTTTATTTTTCGTCATTTGGGATTGTGGGTTACCTTCTGGGGTAGACTATCATTTGTCGGACGTATGGGCGGGTATTATAACCTCATTCGCATTTTATCCGGCTGGCTGACGAGCCCGTACTTGTCCAGGTGACTGTAGAGCGCCGCTAAGTACTCCTTCTGGTGATAGATGTAGTGCATCACGTGGGGAGACTTGTCCCAGCACTTCCAGGTGCACTGTATGCACAAGATAACATAGTATTCAAATGTTAGCTGAGGCGTAATGTCAAAAACTCGAAAAGGGTAACAGCCGTACCAGAACCAAAATGGACAAGAGAAATTAAATGGCAATGTGTTAGTTCAAAAACTAAGCTAAAACTAGATACAAAAGATCTGAGATATTATTTCTTCGAATAAATTTGCATCTTCTTATAAATGAAGGTTTCCTTGTGAGGTTCACGGGCCATCTAACTTGAAAGCCAGTCTGAGTTAGTGTGAAATCCCATACATTTGCGAAAATAATTGCATTTTAAGTTATGAAATTTAGAATTGATTTTGGTAATGTATAGAATTTTACATGCAGCTGTGAACTATAAGACGTTTTGAGGGTTTTAGTGGGCAGAACATCTCACCTGAATGCCCATGCGCACCCAGCTGTCGTGCACGGCGCGATTGCTGTTCTCTGCACCAACAGGGTCGCTTTTGGAGAGCATGAAGAGAGCCGGTGCTCGACACAAGTTCGTGTGAAACATCTGCGATGAGCGGATGTAGTGGCACGTCGCCACGTCGTGAAAAGTCTTCAAGTGATATCTGGACAAATTGAGACACACAATGCAAGGTTGAATGATCGGACCATATTTTAGCTTAGTAATAACAGAAAAAAAACATTGGATACGTTCTTGAACAAAATTCACTCTTCCACTTTCAAAAAATTATAAATTGTATAATTTTCACAATTTTAAGTAACTATAACTACATATACATAAAAAGTATAGTAACTTTGCAGCCTCTAAAGGTAAGCGTAAATAAAGTGATTATTCCAGAAATTATCTTTAAGATTCGGCATAGGGTGAACAATTCAAATCGCCTCCTAAAATATCGTATTGAGTTACATTATTACCCATGTATCCAAGTGAAATCATGTGATAAGTAAAACAACGTTTCGTTATATCTTTTCACTAGATTGTTAAATGGAGCTCCTTGTATCTCAGTATGTTATCATGTTACTAAATGTGTTATGTTATATTGCATCGTAACATTATTGCTTTAAATAATTTATTACGACCAACGATGTCTATGTACTAGTATATTATTACTGTATTGTAGGGTATATGGTAATGTCGCTTAACGCTATGTAAATTCGGACTATTTAAATATATGCTATTTATAAAGCAATTATGAAATAAAATGTACGAATTACATTATATACTTCGCACAGTATCTTGGCTTATGAATATCCAGTAATTAACAAACCGGAAGAAAAGACACTGGTTACACATTATAACCTTTTTGGATTATACAGTAGAGGCTTGCTCTTTGGTCTGCTGTGTAAAAAACTAATCATCTAACTTGTCAATAAAAAAACCGAAAAGCAAATATTAGGCGCAATTTTTATTATTAAACAGAAACAAGTTTTTCTCATCCCACATTGTGTAATCCCATGTCGTCATCACCAGCGCAGGTCCTATGGTCACCCAGGCCCTTTACAGATCCCATGGTCACCCAAGTCCTTTACAGGTCCCATGGTCACCCGGGCCTTTTACAAGTCCCATGGCCACGGGTGACTATAGAACCTATAAAGGGCCCGAAACGTTGGCTTTATTTGAAAAAACTAATATAGGCAAATTAGAATCGGAAAAATACCTCCAAGGCCGAACGGATACCAGTCCGGACTCCTGGGTTCGATTCCCACGCCGGGAGCAATATGTGTATGGTCTACATTTATTTCTTTCGTGAGTTTGGGGGTAATTTGTGATTGTGTAATGTGCGTGTCCATGGCACTCGGTGGACACGCACATTACACAATCACAAATTATGGAATCCATCGAAATTTTCATCGAATTCGATCGAAATTTTCATTCCATCGAAACCCTGTATATAGTGGGCAAGACACACAAGTCAAAAATATCAATATTTCTCAATATTTTTTTTCTTTTTTACAGTTCTGAAGATTAGATTGTAATTTTGCCATACGTTTGCATATTAATGCACTTAAATGTACAATCGACAACACGCTGGGCGTTACACTTTGGGACTTTGGAGTCTCGTATCGCTGTGGCATAGTTCAATGTACATCTAAAAGTTTTAAAGTCGTGCCCGTATCCGAACTTTTAATTAATTCTGACTTAATCAATAACATATTTTGTATTATACGTAATGGTTATTTACCCAGGCATCGTACGTTTCGGTAAATGTAGGAGTTAAAAGTTAGGTTATACTTTAGGTATCTACAGCCACACTCAACCTATTAGCGAATATTGACGAAGATAAAGATATAAAATAAGATAAGCCAGGATAATTATAATGTCACTAAATATTACCTTTTCAATACTCTAACTTTTAACGTTTTACAAAGAAACGGCGTTATCGTTTAGTGAAATTGTCTAAACCTCATCTGTCACAATGTCACTGAATACATATAGGGAAATTATGGTGCAACTAAAATTGTCCCGTTATAGTATGAAAGGGAGACGATTGACAAAAGTCCGTGCAATTAAAAAAGTCACTAGTGAAATTACAATATCACGGCTTTTACAATGTACCGGAAATTACTAAAGTAGTATCAATTTATAAAAATATAACGATACCTCACACGTAATTTGTTGTAAGTCACAATACCATTTTTTGCTTTTTAACTTAAATATTGCAACCATTTTTTTATGTATATTAAAGGTACCATATTTGAAAGTAAACATAACACTAAGTGATTTTCTACTTTTAAATAAGGAACTTATAATTTACAGAAAAAAGGATATATATATATATAAGTTAAAAAGCAAAAAAAAATATTTTGACTTGCAACAACTTACGTGGGAGGTATCGATAAATTCTATCGATAAGCACCGTCGATGATTCCGCCTGTGTAGTTTTGTCCGCGTTTTCATTTTTGGCAAGAAAATATTACCACAGGGAGCATCCATGCATGTTCCTTTTACATAATATTCACAGGGATAGTAAAAATCTGTTCAAGTATCAAGTGAGTTTTTTCGCAGTTCAAACTGGGTTGCAAAATGCAGATTTTTTGAATTTGCCGCTATTTCTCAGTCTCAAGTTTCGTTTGCCAGACTCTATAAAGTTTTTATTACACTATAGTTTTAAAACTCTTAAATAGCAAATTTTGAAGATCAACTGGAATCTTATTAAAGAAGCGTATAACATCGCCTCTTAAATGACTTTGAATTTTAATAGCATTCAATTGATGTATCAGGATTTTTTTCTATCAAAACCTTTATTCTATGGACCATAGTGAGAACCATGGGGTATCAATCCATACAAATTAACTGCAGTTCTTATTTAAAATTGTAGATGGCGACACTTGGACAAAATGAAAAATATTAAGTATTTAATCTCCAAAATTTTAGATATTTCGTATTAAATAAGAAGTACAAAATATAAAAACGAAAAGTAAAACGATTTAAACAACATTTTAGGAGCGATCAATTAAAATTTATTTACAATTTTGAAAATTGGTGAAAACAAAAGGTTGTTGAAAAGATCGAAGGTTTTTCAATAGATTACTTTTGACGTGATAGTTTGCCATAAATTGTATAGATGGCACTTTTTTGAATTTATTCAAGAACTAAGTAACGTTTAGTTTTTCACGAGATAATATTGTATCATCTTAGGATTATATATATATTCCGGATTTATAATTAATGAAATAATATAATGAATACAATTTATTTAATGACATCGTGAATTTTCATATAAATTCAACAGTTTAGTGTTAAGGAAATAAGGTAATTTATTTATTTTCTACGAATTTTGAAGGTAACATAACGCTTGATGTGTCAATGTCAAATTTTTAAACTTTCATAATCGTTTACGGTTCTTTTGTGTATGGTTTGTGGAATTTTTCTTTTTTTTCGATATTGATGTGACCTTGAACGACTACTTTGAAATTGGACTTGTTTGATACTTGCACCACGCTACCCGGCTAACTCTTACTTATCTGACGTGACACGCTCAACATACGACCCTGCTTGTAAACGGACTTGGAATTTGCCTTCAGATTGGAATATCTTTGGAAAATGGCCCCGTCCAAGTGTGCCTACTTTAATTGCCATAATAAAGCCAGCCAAAAGTCTATGTTTCGTTTCCCGACGAACAACTACAATCTCTTACAAATTTGGCTCGCGAATTGTGGTAAGTTTTTTTCCTTTGTTTTAAAGAAGATGTGAGATATTTAATCACTAATCACGATATTCTGATGTTATTTTCTTTATTCTACATATCTGCTATTTGTTTTAGGTAATATGACTATTACTCATCTGAAACCAGAACAATTACGTAACAAATGCATATGTATAGACCACTTTGCTAAAGAATATGTTAAAAATGAAACTGCTCAAAGGGTAAGATTATCAAAATTAGCAATACCAATGCCGTACAAAGCCACTGAAACGAACTCTCAAGAATCACCAATACAATCAACAACTCGAGAATCACCTGAACCATCGACATCCAAAGGTACTTATCATTGACCTACCAACAAATGGACAACGGGTCTAATACACAAACCACAAAAAAATGTCCAGAATTAACCTATACATATAAGCGTAGTGATATGTAATGAAATATAAAAAAACTAAAACACTTCATTTAAATTGTAATGTCATTACAATTTAAAAAAGAATTTAAAGGCCCAAAAATTCGACATATTCAGCTTCTACTGGAAACTTAATAACAAAATGCGCCATTTTTAGCTTCTGGTGCAAACTACTTGAACACTCTTTTCTGTCAATATTCATTATTATATACGTTAATATTATGTTGAATTTTGTACAAAATTCACTTAAAGAAATAATAAAGAGTGGTGCAGATACATACAATTATTATAAATGTGAAAATAACTGTGTCTCTCTATTAGTTTTACTTGACATATTATAAGAAATATTTCAATGTTTCAAATTTTAGATTCCAACTAAACGTCAACAAAAAATTTCATAATCTCAAAAATCGATTTATAACAAAACCATTATGCTCTCAGTGAATTTTGGTTGCTTTTCACAAAGAAAAGTTTAAGTGTACATAGGTTTGTTTTGTAATATGGGCCATTCCAAAGTGACGGGTGGGACATTTTGACTCCTTTTTTCTTGAAGTTTAAGTAATTTCTCCCTAACCATTGGTTAATTAGACTTAAAATGAAAATATCATGAAGCCAGATGTGCAATTCAACTGCGACTATTTATTTACATAATTTTCTAATTGTTACGGGTGGAACACTCACAACACCCGGCTGTTTGAGTTGATGGATTCATTTTTTTATTATATGATTACTTGAATGTTAAGAATTCTATTTTATATATACCCTTAATTAATAACTTTGATAAATTTTAAGGAAATTAATATGTTAAGTTGTGACGGGTGGGACGTGAGTTTGTGACGAGTGGGACGAGTTATAGTTGAGTACACAGAATTAATCAAATTACATTGCTTAATATGAGGTCCATCTTAGTAGCAAATATTTCATAATTTTTGTCTTATTAAGACATTTTAACACAAAAAAAACAATTAAAGGACTGATAAATCCTATTATTTTTCTTGAAACACTATTTATGATGACATGAATAAAGTCACTCAGGTAAAATACGTTAATAAATTTGAAAAATACTGCCACATCCTTGAAGATTATGTATCATATCAAAATATATCAAATTTTAGAGATTTTACTGAAATATATAGTTAAAACTAGTGGAAACAGACTTTTCATGAATTTCCTGATACTAAAAATCATCAGGAAAAATGTTGTACTTTTTAATTGTCTTTTTTTATGTGTTAAAATGTCTTAATTATAAGAATTATAAAAACATTGCTTACAAATGATGGTTCTACATATAAACAGTGTATTTTTTTAAATTCTATGTATTCAAATGTAACTTGTCTCACCTGTCACAAGATGGTATCCCAAATGTCACAATTTAATACAACAAATGTTTAACCCTGAAATTAAAGCAACTGTTACATCTAGTAAACATAGTAAAAACTCGAATCCTTGAAAATAAAAACATTTAGTCAAAGTAAAAACGTTTAGAAGTGTGTCCCACCCATCGCTGTGCACCCGTCACGTCACTTCTAAATCTTAATTTTATATACATATAATATAATAATATAATTTAAATTCCTATTTACGTGCACAATGCCCAACCAAGCCAAAATAATGACCGTAGCATATTTGTTACTATATATGATTCATATAAAATATGAATTATTAATAGTCCTTTAATAACAAATAATTTTATATTACAGCTCAAGAATTTTCTCCAGAATTAAAGGTTAAAACACCTACAAAAGTTTACAAAAGTTTTAAATCGAAAGAAGATCAGGAAGAAGAAACTTTCGTTATAGATAATGTTAGCACACCCAAATCTAGAAAACGACAGATTGACAGAGGTGATGATGGTGATACTCCAAAGTGCAAGAAGCTAAAAAGTAGCATTAATCATGTTACTAAAACTCTAAAGAAAGAAAAAGATAAATACAATAGATTGCGCAAAAAAATGTATGGTAATAATATTGTAAATATTGATAAATTTGCATTTAAAAGTGAGACCTCAAAAGTACTAACTTTAATGCAATTAAGAAAGAAAAAGAAGGAATGGAGTGAAGATGAAAAAAAATTTTGTCTTGGACTATATTATAAATCACCAAGTGCCTACAAACACTTGCTAGAAGCTGGTGTAGTTTTGGCTGCACCCTCGACTATCCAACACTGGTTACAGGACACTAGCTGTTTTCCAGGAGTAAACAAAAGCATATTTAACAATATCGCAGATAAATTTAATGGGAAAATTATTAAAGAAAGAGCATGTACAGTTTGCTTTGATGAAATGGCAATAATGTCAAGTTTAGAGTATACAAAAAAATATGATCTAATAGAAGGCTTCGAAGACTTTGGAGAAAATGAGCGATCATGTGTTGATGCCAAATATGCACTAGTATTTATAGCTAGAGGTATTTATAGCAGCTGGAAAATGCCTTTAGCATACTTTTTGGCTGGTAAAACAGTCAGTGCAGAAAAATTAGTAGATTTAGTTCAAAAAATTATAGATATTCTGTTTGAAAGTAATTTATTGCCAAAGGCGATCATATGTGACCAAGCCACCACCAATGTGAAAGCGATTAAAATGCTTGGAGTAACTATAGAAAATCCCTTCTTTTTTGTAAATGGCAGAAAAGTCTTTTCGATTTTCGACACTCCACATTTGATAAAAAACATAAGAACGAATCTTTTAAAAAATAATTTTTTAACAAATGATGGCGAAATTTCATTCAGTGATATTGTATATGTTTACAATATAGATAAAAATAATAAAAGCAGAACACTGAAGAAACTTACTCCAGTTCACCTGAATCCCAACACATTTCAAAAAATGAAGGTGAGCTTTGCTACACAAATATTTAGCTGTTCAGTTGCGGCAGCAATTAATACGGCCGTTGAAAGTGGAGAGTTGGTGAATAATACAGCAAAAAACACTGCAAATTTCATCCAATTAGTGAATGATATGTTTGATTCTCTAAATTCAAAAAATAAATTTGACAAGAACCCATATCGATGTGGTATAACAAAAAATCTTGGTTCTAAGGTTCATGTAACCCTTTCTACAGCAAAAAGAGTTTTTGCTGAACTAAAAAAGATTTCAGTTGACAAGAATGGGGTGAAAAAATTAACAGCTCCTCCCTGTTTTGATGGCATTCAACAGACAATTAATGCAATACTTCAGCTGTCATCTGAGGAGTTTTCGGTTGGAAGCGGAGTTAAATTTATTTTGACATATAGGTTTAACCAAGATGTCATTGAAAATTTATTTGGAGTCTACAGAATGAAAGGAGGCTGTAACAAGAACCCCACTGCAAAAAATTTAAGAGCAATGTTCAGAAGCCAATTACTGAATAATTTAATAAAATTACCTAACAAAAATTGTGAGGATGATGAAGACATATTTTTAGCAGGAAAAAAATGTGATTCACGATCCCAACAGGTAAAGGGTGAACACCCTGCAGCAAATATGAACCAAGTGGAAGAACCTCCTGCGATGCTAGAGAAGGTAAACACACAAAGTGTAAAAATAGAAAAAGACGATGTTGCTACAACAGGTACTACCCTAGAAAAATGTTCTGTTATTTATTTCGCAGGCTGGATTGGTAAAAAATGTATTGAACGATTTAATTGTGATGAATGTAAAAAAACACTTTTAAAAGATGATGTTGATTTAAATGACAAAAATCAGTTACTTTTAATTAATAAAACATATGCCAATATTGAAATACCTACATTAAAGTCTCCCACCGATTTTTTATATAAAATAGTAGATACATCCTTGACAATATTTGAAAACCAAATGGACAGTATTAGTTTCAAAGAAAAAGTCTTATACACTCTAATAAAAAAAATTGAAAAAGAAATTGATTATTCTACATTTCACCATAAAGAACATTTACAATACGTAATTGAAAAATGAATAGAAACAAAAATTTATGATTATTGTAAAAAAAGGAAGAAGTCAATGAGAGAAAAAGAAACAATGAAAATTAGAATAATGCAACATAATTGATAGCTCTGGGCGGAACCTTTTTTAAGTTTGTACCATTTCTATTGTCTTAGATAATGTTATTACATTTTGTGAATAAACCAGTTCTTCACTCATGAAAAGGTTTTTGTTTTATTTATTACATTTACAAAGATGAAATTATCACCGGTAATAACTCACCCCCATATATAAATATATATAAATTTATCATAATTGTCAGTGTTAATTGTTAATTGTAGATATAGGCGATTAACGATTGATCAATTTAATTGTGGTTTAATTAATTTAATTAAGTTGTTTGTTAATTGTGGTTCTCGCAACTATTGTCAATCTTTAATTGCCAGAACAATTAAATTTTGCCCGACACTGCTATATACAAAGGGCTTCCCCTCGACTATTATGTATGTGGGGACTTCCCGTACTTTTAATATTGTATAGATAGGATATTTTGCTGCTGCTTATTGCTGACATTATTTTGTTTTTAAAAGTAAGTAATACATGTATTGCTATACCGAAGACTTCTAAATGAAGCGTCACCGAAAACCACATCCAAATTGGTTCAGCCATTATGGAGATTAAGCATGTGCAAATGCACCGAAAAATTATAAAAATTTATATTATAAGTTATCTAGCATGTCTTCAGTAAGTATTGACTTTTACTTAAAAATATGAAATGTACAGACTCGGCTTCTTTACGATCTTATTACAATAATAATTATTGTATTATCAGATTATCACGGAGTAGGTACCTATATATGTCGTCGTCGGTGTTAAGGTAAAAGTAATCCTCCCCTATATTGAATAGGCGTATTATTTATTGAAATTTGAGTTGGTACAACATTGACGACTATTATTTCATAAGAAGTAAATATTTGTTGCCACAAATGATTGTCTCGAAAAATAGTATTGTAGTTGTGTTTTTATTATAGGTACTTATACTTTAGCCATTTTAAAAATAAGAATGAGTCTATTGTATATTTTGGAAAGTTTAGAAGATAAGTGGTAAAAAAATAAATTTTAAACGCGTTGATGACGAAATCGGTATCGCCATACTAAGACAACATTCAATACTTTAGGCAAATTATTATCTCCCTCAATTCGATCACTGTGGATGCGAACGGTGCGATTTATTCAAACGTCAAGGCCTCGCCACAAGTGCAATAACCTTAACAAAAAATATAACAGGTGCCATTTGTTGGCCTTCTCAAATATTATTACAATCGCATCGTGGGTTTATGTGGTACCATCTATTGACCACCGATCAGAATCAAAATAAGCGTCCGAATAAGCGGAGTTATGAGTGCGACATTTTCTTGTATGAGATTGAGTATCTGTACTAGTATAGTATTGTATTATCTGTGGTGAGAACAGATCTTGTGATGTTCAAGATTACTTAATAGGGCTGTACTCACTCCAAGTAGGTCTGGAGCGTCTTCTGCAGGATTTTGTTTTTGGGGAAGACGGCGGAAGGCACGCCGATGGTGAGTTCCGTGATGTCGGCAGCCGAGTCCCACACCTGCGCTGCCACGCGGTCAAGCAACGGCTGGAACCTGCGGTACAAAGATGGCTTACTACTTCGAAAATGTATTTAAATAATGTACTATTGTGTACACGGTTAGTAACTGTCAATATCGCCGTCTTAGTGTGAACACCTCGTATGTATGTATATGTGTTGCCAAATTATTACATGTCTTACATTTTTTGTAACTTTCGACCCTCTCGTACATGTCGAAAACTTATGTTTTGAAAGGCGCTTTCAAATTAGACGCTTGTAGAAGCGCTGCAGTGCCACTACTAATTTTCATATAATATTTAGTAGCGCAGTGGCGCCCGTGTGTCACGACGATAACGCTGCAGTTATTGTCGTGACACACGGACGCCACTTTTGCAGTCTTTTATTATTATTATTATTATTATAATACCGTCCGTTTAGTGGTAAGGGACACGCCTATCCATAACAATTTTCGTAAGTTTTGAAAATATTTAGATTTTCAAGAAATTTTGTTATATCAAGTAATTTTTGAACGCACCTAAATTAGACGATAAAGCGTGAAACACACAGAGTGTGCGTTGTTGTCATTTGGATTAAATCTGTATGTTGTTATTTTTCGCTTTTTAGTCTAGTGACTTTTTGTGGTTTTTGAAGTTGGTTGAATTATTTTTTTAAAGTTTTATTCACATTAATTATAAGCACGCAGATTGCGGCACGCGGGCTCTACACGCAAAATATAAGTATGTACTTGTTGGCAAATCACATGATATAAAAAACTTAACCAATTTAGACTGAGGCGTAGTCCCATACAAAATGGTTATGAACAGAGATGTACTGGTCATTTTGTTTTATCGTACATACGGTTCTATTTACTATTGTATATTGATTATTGTTATATATTTTGGCAAATCGTGATGAAAAGTAACAATCGAAAATAATTATAAAGCATAAATAATTTTGTACTTTGCATGGGAGTGAATCACTGTGGGGCGGTAGGGACCACTTTGGGAAACTATGATCTGCATGTTACTATGGAGCTAAAAAACTTTTGTTATGATGACCTCTCTGAAATCGTAAAAAAACAACTGAAACATTTACGTCGGGTAAGTATTAACATTTTCAATAAATAGTTTACCTTTAAAAGTATGTTAAATAATAAATAACCTTCTAAAACAAAAATCCGCAGTAAACACACTGAGAAATTCGTAAGACCTGCTAGTTCGATCCGTGGCGTAGCTGTTAACGGTAGCCACGTTGAAGCAACAGTCGCTGGTTCAAATCTAGATGGGTCAAAGGAATTTTTCTTTGTGTCAATGTCTTTGTGTCGAACTTTGTATCAATAATAATATGAACTAGTGGAATATTTTTACAAAAATAGATGAATATCGTGCTAGTAAAGCATCATGATATTCAGTAAAAATAAATAAAAACCTTATAAAATATTAAGTTTATTGAGTGGTCGATCACTCACCGTTTAGGGTCCTTCATGACATGAACGCATACCTCGCCCCATAAATACCCAGCGATGGAGAACCCATGGACCACTAGAGGATGGTCGTTGTCATTCGCTGACAAAAACTTCAGCAGGTCCCCGGTCACCAACTGAAAATGTGCGATCATGAATATCAAATCATTTACGACGAGCGGCTGTAAAGTTTTGCTCCTAAATACCTTTAAGAGACACTAATGGCTGGCGTTACATATGACTAATTGCAAATATCTAAGTAGTATACATACCAAATTTTAAGTCTTTAGTATCATTACGCTATTAGGCCTTGAACAGTAACCATCACCATGTCTGAGTCATCCGCGCATTGTACAAAATTGAGTACAAAGCTGTCACAAAATTCCTCACAAAAAGTATATAACGCCGATGGAATATTTCAAGAGATGTATACAGTTCATGAGAAGTATGAACCATCATTTGCCAACATAAAACGTTGGAACAGAGAGATCAAACGTGGCAGGGAGTCGCTGGAAGATGATCCCAGGTCAGGGTGTCCAAACACTGTTACCGAAGAAAATATTTTGAAAAATGTTCTCCAAGACCGGCGAATCAAGATAAATGAAGCTATAACCATAAGCAAGGAATGAATCGGCGACGTTTTGCATAGACATTTGCACATGAAAAAAGTTTGAACGCGATGGATGCCGAAAATGCTCACATTGCAGAACAGGCAGCGTCGTGTCACAACTTCACAGGAACTTTTGGATGACGTCTTTTCTCCACATTGTAACTGTTGATGAAACGTGGATTCGGCAGAACGATCCAAAGTCAAAACAGGAGTCAATGCAGTGGAAAGAAAATGGAGAAAAGCCATGAGCCATATTTTTCTGGGATTGTGAAGGAATTCTGTTCATCGACTATCTGCCTAAAAAAACTACAATGAACGAGGATTATTCCGCCGCATTGTTGACAAAAGTGCGTCAAGTGGTTGTCGAGAAAAGGAAAGGCAAACTGGCGAAGGGAGTCCTGTTTTTGCAGGACAATGCGCCCGTGCACACTGCGCGAGTTGCAATGCGTGCCGGGGCCGAGACAGGATTTTAAGAAATCAACCACTTACCCTACAGTCCTGATCTTCACCCCCAGCGATTATTTCCTGTTTTCCAATTCGAAAAAGGACCTCTAAGAGCGAAGATTTTCGAGTGATGAAGAAATGAAAACGGCTGTAGACAAGCATTTCGAAGGCAAAGACGGCAAATATTTTTTCACTGGGTTAAAAAGCCTGGCAAATATAAGAAGTGCATTAAAGTAGAGGGAAGATTATGTAGAAAAATAGATTTTTTACATATTTCTATCGGCATGTTTAATACCTTAGGCTCAAAACTTTTCAGCCGGCCCTCGTATAGCAATGATATATATCCCTTAAGCAAAAGAAAAAATTTGACGATGTGAAAATTATATTATCAACCAGTAAGATACATACACTTGAACCCTGTATGAATTATACCCATAATGAATGAATTGATTGATGAATGATGATGAATTCATTTATTTCACATTAAAATTTATAATGACAACACAGTACAGTAATGTAAGTATCACAGAGTAAGGCGGTCTTATTGCTAAGTAGCAATTTATTCCAGCATAGAAATTTGAAAGCTGGAAAGGCGGATGCAACCGAAGAATACCTTCTAAATTGTGTAGTTACACTAAATACATCAGTTTGTATTGCAACTGCGAAATAACAGCTGGAAAGCAGTCGGAAAACAACTCGTAAGACGGCGCAGTTAAACCAACGGAACTATTAAACTCTCGTGACTCAGTAACACTTTTTATTTTGTGAGATTTATACCATTGGAACGTTAATTTATCGTAATTTTGGTAATGACCTGTGAACCTTTCTGCGGCCACATGAGCTGCCACGGCGTGCAAGATATAGAGACGACATCGAAGCCCTGCTCCAAATAAAGCGTCGCGAACTTCATTACGTGTTTCTGTCGCGCTAGAAGCCAGTTGATCATCACGCAGAGAGGCCTATTTGGCAGCTTATCTAACCTGTGAACAACATAAGTTTATGCATCTTAAGATAATATCATTAACTTAGATCTCATATTTTTTTAGTACATTTTAGTAGCAGTGAAAGAGACTCAGTCTTTTAAGGCGTTTTGCAACGACTCGACTCCATTTTACAGAACTCGACTCTAAAATTAAGACTAGAGGTTCGAATTCTTATTAATAAGACTCAGTCGTTATACTAAAAGACTCAAAAGACAAACGATTTAAATGACTTGAACGACTTGTACGACATGTACGACTTGTACGACTTGAACGACTTGAAAGACTTAAACGACTCGAGTTGTTTGCAAAGAACTTATACCTATTTTATGTCTTATTAAATCCGAAGTTTATAAATAAAAATGACTTTTTTTTTCATTTCCAACAGTATTTTTTTATTCTGGTTATTTGGAAATGGCAACACTGTAGGGAAGAGGTCGGTATAAAGCGTAGAAATTGAAGAATGATAGTAAGACAATTGGATCTTCTCTATCTGAATCTGAAACGTAACGTAATTGCTTAGTATAAGCAATTACGTGCTCTCTACAAAAACGAAAAAATCTTATCATTAAGCTATTTATTCAAAATACTTAAAACTGGCAACTGGTTGTGTGAATCAAGCATACGATTCGGCAATTTCATGATATGAATCATCGCATAAATATTTTCATGAAAGAGGGTAGTCAAAAAGTCGTATTCCAGAACTCTACTCAATACTCAAGTCACGACTTGAGTATTGAGTAAGTCACGACTTGAGTAATGTAACAGTTCAAATTTGAGCATTACATCAGCGAGTGAGGAGAACTGAGCATTATTGTACGCGACCTGTAATACTAATGTAACATTACAGCAGTAAGTGAGAGCACCCGTGATACAATTTGTAACATCAATGCACACCACTTGTAATGACCGTGGTGCGGCGCAGGCCCAGTGACCTAGGCGGCAGTGGCATGAACACACCTGTACGTGATACTGATATAATTGATGGAACCGCTACTGGAGACAGCTTTGGATAGGATCCCAAAACAATACATTTTCGACAAAAAGCACAAGCAAGATACAATTGTTTGAAGATCCCAATGAAGGACTAAACCTCAAAGAGGTTTGCATCTTTACTGACAGATCTTAAACAAATTTAGGAACAGGTAGTGGGTATTTTCAGAAGACCTTAATGACAGGATTTCAATACCACTTGGCAACCACAACACAGTATTCCAGGTTGAATGTATGGGTATCAAGAGGACAACAGCCCGTTACACCATACTATACTGATATCGGGTTTTTTTGCTTTCGGGGCTAAATTTAAACAAAAACAAAACCCTATTAGGAAATGAAACTATTTTTCCGGATTTAAATCGCGTATATTTGTTTTTTCAAACAAACCGACGTATCGGGCCCTTTACAGATCCCATGGTCAACCGTGACCATGAGACCTGTAAAGGCATCGAACACTTATAAAATTTCATTCGATCCGTAAGGTCTGTTGGTTCGTTCCTTGGCTTAATTGACAGAGCATATAGCATTGATTGCCTGAGGGTGCTGGTTCGAATCCAGCCGGATGGAATGAATATTTCTAAGTGTTCGATCTTTGTTATTAATAATTACAACAAACTACTGGAATAATTTCACAAAAAAATAATAATAATATCATGGTAGCAAAACATCGTGACATTCAATAAACTTTTTTTTTATTTAACATCGAGTGACGAGACGAACAAATCGTGCGCCTGATGGTAAACTACACGCCTGTCCAATAGTTACAGTGCCACTCAGAGCTTTAAATTGCAAAGATCTGAGGGGCACTACCACCACTCCCGTCACCCTGAGACATAAGTTGATGAGTCCCATGTGCCTGTAATTTCACCAGCACCTTTACCCTTCAAAACCGGAACACAATAATGCGGACCTATTTAGGTAAGGTGGCAGTAATTCCCTGAACGAACTGTTTCACAAGGAGCTCTACTGCCATTATAAAAACTTTACACTTCTAAGACGAAGCTCCTGGCAACAAATAAATTATATACATATAACAACTATAAAGGTACCCTTAAACTAGAACAGATAATGAAATGCTGACCTATTCTTATTGCATTATCAAAGAATATACATTATATTATTTACATTGCCTCACTGGTGTAAGAGTTCAATGACACTCACCAAACATTGTAAATCTGTTGGCTTGATAATCATATGTATGCAAATGAATGAATGAAGTATTGCGTTTTACTGCCTTTATTAACAATTCATTAAAATGGAGCTCGTTTTCTTATTGTTTCTAATTCAGCCTGTAATCGTTTAGGTACTTGTCACTCTGCCCTCCTTATCATAACAACGTAATCGACAATTTTTGAGTTACTAATATAATCTGGTTTCAGCGAAACGAAATCTACAACCCCCTATAAGCGCTTATTATTATTGTTTCCTTAATGACGGCCACTAGGCCTGGGCCCATCGAGTACACAATCAGAAATAGAGACGAATTGTCATTTAATTTGTTTGAAAACTATTCTGCACAAATCATTACGGTGACAACTGCGCTCCGATTGGCCAGCCCGAGTTTGAAACAATAGACGGGTGTCGTTTCACTTCAAATCGACCAATTTAACTTGAGCTTTGCTATAATGGACGATAATTGAAAAATTACATAATATTTAATATTTAATTAGCGATGAAATGTGACTCCGTTTGTTTTGTAATAAAATGTTTTGCTGTTTTTGCCACACCACCGAATGGAACAGCCCCCAGTGTTAGAGATATTATCTTTATTACAATAAGTACAGAATATTTTTGGAATATACGGAGAACAAACGAGAGTTTATATGTAAAAGTAATATAAGGCCCATTTGCCTAATGAGTTGCCAGGGATGGATGGCCCTTATTTCGTCTCTATTTCTGGTTATATACTCGATGCTTGGGCCCGTGTCAGTATCGATGCATGGTATCTGTTAAATTCTTCTTCCATTGAGACTTCCATTTACACAGACGGTGCGCAGGACCGCCCGTGTGCATATCTAACTTTTATTAACCGACTTCAAAAAAGGAGGAGGTTCTCAATTCGATTGTATTTTTTTTTTGTATGTATGTTACGCGATAACTCCGGTATTTGTGAACCGATTTTCATGATTCTTTTTTTGTTGGAAAGGGGTTACTTCCATAGTGGTCGCATTTCATTTTGAAGGAAATCATCCACCACTAAGGATGGCTGTTCACGCGTGAAGATTAATTTTTATAAATAGCGCCTAAATGTTCTTAAGGAGCAATTATTTTAATGGTTGATTTTACTATTTCTCCAATTCAAGGCGTTTTACTCTCAATATTCTTTGAGTAGTGAGAACCGATTTTTATTATCTACAGTGTCAAGTACTGTATAGTGGTGAATTTAAGGATATTTCAATAGAACTTAGCAAATAGAAGTAATTCCACGTACTTTTGAGGTCGGTTTTTTTAGTACTCTTTACTGAGATTATGTAGTTACTTTTTAATTATTAAGCAAAATCAGATTTTTCAAATAAAAAAACTAGATGTACATATCTCGAAAGTTAGCTATGACAAGGGCGCCTGCACTTAAAGCCCGGAGAGATACCTCTTATTAAGGAAATCCTTTCTTTAGGATTCTCATGACAGGATTTTAGGCCATAGTCCACCACGCTGGCCTAACCTAATTAACCCATATACAGACAATACCTCGATCACGAAAATTGTATCAATCCGTCGCTACCTCTTCTGGGGTGTAAGTTAATCGTTAACGACATATAAACATACACTATGAATTCGTCGTTTCTGATTGATCGAAAATCGTGAAGACGTATCGTATATAGTATATAGGGGCACAGAATTAAATCTAGATCTAGATCCACAGATAGATAGAACGGCGATGTTGCACTTTTTTTAAAGGGTTCAAGTGTTCAAATCTTTCTGACAAACTCCGGCTACTGTGTGACCTTGAAGTGGCATAATGTGATTTTTATTTCAAAATAATGTCTTCAAGATTTACTAGATACATCTATAATTATCTTTACTACATCATTACTTGACACGTACCATTCCGCGACGTTAGAGATGACAGTAGATATCAAACTTATTTTGTTATTGGCTGCTCGCTAAGTAAAGAGTTCAGTGCGGGAATGCATCTTGTCTAGCACGCAACGAAATTTTAATTTAGCTATATATATTATGATTGTAATGCAATGAAACTTTCTTAATTATTTTATGATTTTCCGTGTTTGTGTATTTTCAATAACTTAAAACCAGCACCATATGTCAAGTACAAGCAAGCAATAATCGATGCGAGCTGAGGGAGCGCTCGGGGAATCTTGTGATGATATGTCAAGATTTTGGCACACGTGTCCCGCCCACATCGCTGTTCTATCTAGATTTATATATTTATTATATTTTTGTGATGGGTGCCTTAAAGCGGATTAATTACTTCAGACGTCTTCGGAACGTTATGTGAACCTTTACAGACAGATTTTTACACGCTTGTGGAGGAAAACATGGTAAAAACTTGCACACCGAAAGTTCACAGCCCTTGAAAAATGTGAGAAGTTCCCTCTCCTTAGAGTAAACTCGTGCCCAGTAGTGAGACGAACAGTAGGTTGAGGATGGTGATATAAATTTGAAGTATAAACTTAGAAATACACGAACTCAAACGTTTATTAAGGTTTTAATTCTATCATAACTAGAACGCCTATGTCTTGCGTAAGTGGACAAGAGCGCCGAATCGGAGTGCCGAAAGTTTGTTTTATTTTAATGAAGTATCAACTTTCTTTGTTAATTATTTACTATATTTTAATACAATATTTCCGTACAATTAAAATTATTACGGAACTTCCACATACATCCTGCATTAGGTTTTAATTTTTATGCATTTGTTTTTTTTTTAATACTTATTCTTTACAATGACTATTTTTAGTAACAGTACCATCGTAGGTACCGCTAAAGTACAAGCTAAAGTCAAAAGAACGTTGATAATTAATACAAATATTGGTTTAAAAATATTTTATTGTTTTTTTTTGAACAGCTGAAAATTATAATCCACGCCGATCAAGCCACCGCACAGTCGGTTCAAAAATCTCTAGAACCCCTCAAAAACCCCTAATTGCGAGGAAAGAATAAGATTAATAAACAGAATAAGAAAGAAAACACAATTATTTATTACTATAAATTACACTATACGTACAAGAAAAAAAGAAACGAAACAGAAGAAAAAAAAATTAAATGCTTGTGTTCAAAAACATTCACAGACACACCAATATAAAAATACTATTCGTAAAACTCATACACCACTAAAGTGATACTACGAAATACTAGCTCTTGTGTCGGCTTGTTCCACTTTTAAAATTGTCAGATAGCAACAGCGATGGACAAATATCAACTACAACACGCGATGTTCAAGTCCACAAAAAATGATAAATGATACCGTCTGTACCTACAGTTGTTGGATGAAAAGAAACTGCTAATAATAGTCCAGGTGACGATTTGCAAGACCAGACGTAGTCCCGTTTTTTGTTTAATGTAATATACACTATAAAAAATAGACTCCCGACCGAAGCGCAGTAGTCTTTATTTCTTTTTAATTTTCTTTTTTGGCAGTTCCGCACATTTGCGCGCGAAAAATTTTGTAATTGAATATAATCACACATAGTTAACCTTTGATTTCAATTATCTCATGTCACTGATCGAAATTCAAAATTTTCGCTTAGTCAGAAAAAAGTCAAATGTAATAAGAAAGAAAATGTTTATAATAAAAACAATCAATAAATATTTTTGTGAAATAATAATGATTTGTATTTTTAAATTAATTAATAAAATAAAAAAAATGATACTTATATTTTTAATCTGTTATGCAAACACTAAGACACCACAGACGACATGCGTGGGTAAGCATAGAAACGTCATCGTAGTCACTACAGAATACGTGTTATCTTGTACGTGTTTTTTCTTCAAACGCTTTTCAACTAAAAATTATTGAAATTGCGGATTGAGTATACTGCCGTACGCCAACTAAAACGCTGCTCAGTAATAAAATATTTTTTTGAAATATCATAAAAAACTATAACGCAGTTTTAGAATATTGAAATTGTATAATGATATTTCAGCTATACATCATTAGGGTAAGTTCTGATAAGTCGAACACTTAACTAATTTTAACTGTTTTTAAAAGAGAATTTTGTGCTATATCTTGTGCTATTTGAAACGGACATTTGACCATTTGTCACTCAGCCGCATTTCAGTTAGTTGACGGCAGTATAGTAGTCAATCCATACGTAAAATTCTCGCAAATTGGTGCACATTGTGCAGTGTGTTTATCTATAAATTATGTCACACATTTTTCCCACACATCGGACCCAGGACCTCTGCGTGGTAGTCCAGCATGGTAACCGTTCGGCCACAGAGGATGCCAAGAAAGCTTCGCTCGCTGCGCTTCAACAATAAAAATAGGATGGCGATCAATAAGGAATAAGACCAAGAACTAAGTAGATTCTACACTCAAATCATTTGAGCTTACCAAGCGATTGTATTTGCAGCAACGATTTTCAGCAACGAGTTTAATCATGTTGTGATTGACTGATTCAATCAAGAAGTGTAATTCATTCCAATAACTCCACTTGTCGAATTCAACATTATTCAGTGCATATTGTCGAATAAGAGAAAAACTAGGTACATAATACTAGGAGAATGACCAGATTCATTTTTAGTTTAAATAACTTCTGCATTCAGTGCCTCGTGTTTAGAGATGGAAAAAACTGTTTATTAATTTTAAACGTTAACTTTTTTAAATAAGCGTGATTATAAAAGCGATTTTCACTTAATTTGAGTCTTACAAAATTAATTTAGGAACAATATTACACTAATATGTTAAAATGATGATACAGAGAAATGATACACTTTATGTTAAAAAAAGCTTCCAACATTGTATTGACGGCTAATAGCGAAAGCTGTGGCGACAGGTCTTAGATGAGTGAATTAATTTATAAAATACGAGTTTTATTTTGGTTTATGAAACATAGACGGCGGGAGTTGACCTTAGACACGTTGTAAAAAATGAAATTGTTAGTGCTCTTCGTTTAAACGCGCACATTTTATAACAATAAGGGACAATAATAATAACGCACACACTCAACATATGAATGATGAATCCATGTAGTGCAATTAAGTATGTGTTTTTGATAACGCCGCAATCATTAAAGCGATAATCAACACTCTTTCGCATGATAGGGCCTATATGAGACACTGATTCGTTTAAAATATCATTTGGTGTATCAAAAGTCCAGGAAAGTTCAGGAATCGACATTCTAAAATAATTGTAAAATTCGATTTCAAGTTGTCTTGACGTCGATTGCAGTAAAGAAACATCACCTTCTGTATGTAGCAACAAAAGAATAATTCGATTACGCCGCCGCAATGGTGCCGTAAAAATAATAAAGAAAGTAATATTCTTCTTCCATTTCAGTATAGCATGCATCCATGCAAGGTGCGTGGCGACAACTGCGTAGACAATTTCGACTGCATGCAGTTGAAACTAGTTGAAAGTATCGACTTCGCGCCTGCAGTCCGTCTGATAGCAGCCATAATCAGATTATTTCGCCGATACGATTCAAAAATTAATGTTCAAAATTCAAATGACCAAGGAATAAACAAGAATAACAAACATAATAAGTGATATTGCGTTAGTATTATTTTTTAATCCTTACTCCCTCTCCAAAGAGGAGTAATGACCTTATTTCTGGTAGGTGAACAGAAAAATGAATAGGTAATAAACGATTCAAGTTTCAGTGGAAGCGAGGTCAATCTAGCCAATTAATTTCATAATATGCGTAAAAATAAAGAGACGTAGGATGCAAAAGACACTGTATTTATACTACTTTGTACAAGTAGGGCGAAATCTTCTTTGCTCATCACCGCTACTGCCACAGATACCACAATTCAAAATAATTGATAAGGTTTGGATTTGTTGTTAAATAGCCACTGAAGACATGTAACTGAACATTAGCTTCCAATCAGCAGTGACAATCACAAGGCCCAAATACATAGTTCTTTTAAACTACGTGTCGACTAATATAAACTGCTATAGATACAGATAGCATTAAAACCAGGGCCTTGAACCAGTATTGCGTACGGCAGTACAATAATGGACTGCAATTTACCGCTCGGATACATCACGTAACGGACATGCGATGGTATCTATATATGAAAGTTTCAATTAGGTATATCACTCTATAGATCGTTGCAATAATTATTACCTACTCTATAGTGTGCTTTCGTTATCGTCATCATCATTATACGTCCCTCCTCTTAGGAGAAGCCTTCACACGTTTTTCAGGTGTTGTGAACATTATTCGACATAAGTTTCATCACGATATTTTTCTTCACTTTCATCACGATTTTTTTTTTCTTCAGAGGTATAATTTTACTTCCTTCTTTACTTCTATTCTATTCAGTGCTATTCTCTACTATATATCTTCTTGTTCCGACGTCCGTCTATTGCGGGTCTGACGTAGAAATCTATAGTTTAGTATACTAGTTTAGCCGCTCTTCGGACATCCGATGTGTATAGACGTCCAAGTCGCCGGAAGGTAAAATAATCGGATGCGGCGTAGTGAATAAACGTCTTTATTATAGTATAGACCAATGTCCGTGAAACGGATGGAATTGATAATTGGAATCGTTTAAACTTATACTGTATTATGAAGAGGATATTGGGAATAACATTATTCCACCTAGTACATCAAGAAGAGTAGCTTCAGTAGCCGCAGCTAACAATGCAACACAAACTTTGTCTTCTACAAGATAAATTTAAATTTGTTTAAACAAAACATTAAAAAGAACATGCAGCAAGCGGCGCCGGAAGGCGTCGAGCTGCATGGACGCACTTTACACTCAGCAGCTCCTGCCTTTCAAATAAGTATACCTTATTATTGAGATGATAAGTTACATTGCATTGCGCTCGGCGGAGGTCGACGCCACCTAGCGCCGCTTGGTGCATTTTCTTTTTCATTTTTTGTTTATAGATGATAAAAGTTGGTGATACATTGCTCGTTTTAATGCGCTGCTGTTTGCGGCATTTTTAAGCTATCCCTAACAGCATGTTAGCTTTAACTGGTAACAAAAATAGAAATCTTCATATTTTTCTCGTTGTTTTTCTTGTGCCTTTTCAATCTAACTGTTAGTTCGACAAGATCTGGAATTACACGTATTCTTTTCCCAACAAAGCATTCGTTCTCTCAACGAAATATTATATGTGCCCTATGTGCCAATGTTTTTGGTAGAAATTTTTCACAAGTTCAAATTTAAAACAAATAGCACTGTATTCCCTGTCCTTGTGTCGTCGTTAAATAAAACAATGCTGGTTAATCATATACCCAATGTCCAATTGTCCCCGGATAATACATTGACCAGACTGTATAAGAAAATATGAAATGAAGTTGTCGTCATAAATTATTCAATGACGTTATGATGCCTGCAAAATATCTGAGCCGACCGTGATAATAATCATATTATCATGGTCAGTGCTAATCATCATTAATTCACTGTATTTCACATTTCATGATATGAGACTCCCGTGCTTTTAAGATGAAATGGAATGTCGTGCTATAACAAAATACTCACTTCAAAGTGTTAGGATCGGCGGTAAGCTTGGTTTTCTCATTGCTTATGTACTGGATGTTCTTGGTGATGTCCTGGCTATGGGCGTTGCGTTCAAAGCCGACCATAGCAACCGGCGCGCATGAGAGAAGCGGTCGGAACGATTTCTGCAACAACATTGACGATATTTTTTTTACAATACCAACAAACAAATCGAACTAAGAACAAATCGTGCGCCTGGTGTTGGCGTATCGCTTACGCCTGTTCATAACAGTTGCAATACCACTCAAAGCTTTAAATCACAAAGGTCTGAAGACACTGCCACTACGCCCGTCGTCCTAAGACATAAGTTGACAAGTCTCATGTAATCAAAGTCAAGCAAGCCACCAGCACGCGGAACGCAGCAATGCTCACATTATAATAATAAAAATATAATAACGTGCACACTCATAGCCCCGCACTAAGGAAACCTTGTATCGCGGGTGCCATGGACACACACGTAGACAACCACAAATTACACCCAAACTCAGAGAGAAATAAACTTAGGCCATACAAATATTTCTCACGGCCCGGGAGTTGAACCCATGACCTCTGCGTGGCAGTCCAGCATAGTAACCGTTGGAACACAGTTAACTACTGTTTTTGCTGCTTGCGGGCAGAAATAGGATATGTGGCAGTACTTCCCTGACCGAAATCTATCACAAGGCGCTCTACTGCTACGGTTGCGTAAAGTAGGTATATGTATATCGACTTCTATTCTGAAACCGCAGTGCACGTAAGAAAATCTATGCTAAGTAGAGCCTTTATTCCTGCTATTAGTCCACATAATTGTATTCATAAATTTTGATGTTTTTTTTTCATTGGACGATGTTTAAGCACCATGATATTCAATTATTTTTGTGAAATGGTTATTATAATTATTAACACAAAGATCAGAAGAGATCAAAGAGAGAAGAAGAGAATTCCTTCGATCCAGCTGGATTCGAACCAGTGTCTTCCAGCAAAGTGCCAGACGCTATGCCAACGAAGCTACGAAACGAACGAGCGGACTTGACGAATTTTACTATGTGCTTGTTGCAGATCTTTGTTTCTGGTTTTTAACGACTCTTTTTTGCCGTAGCGCCATCTGTGAGAAATCTATTTCTTCACTCAGTCAGGTACTCTAGTTTACTGGAAGATAACGTTCGAATACAGGCGAATCGAAGGATTTTTTCTAAGTGTTCGATCTTTGTATTAACAATTAAATCAAAATTACATTTTGATATATTGATAAATGTCAAATAAAAAATCAGCATCATTCATGATTATTGTTACCTTTCGTTTTTTTTTTCATTGCTTAATCGAATAAGATTTATTTTTAATTCAATCCATAACATTATCAAAGAAAGAGCAAACATTAGTGTATAGTTTTCGCCGTTGAATATTGAACGATTACAAAATGTAAATTAATTATGTAAATAAAGAATAGTTGCGAAAACACCATAAAACTCGATTGCAATTGGTTAGGCTTAAGACATTATTTCTTCTTCTTTCTTTCTTATGTGTCCTTTTTAAAATTTTAGTATCAAGCTTTTTGCTTAATAATTTAAGGGGTTTTTTTATAATATCAAGTGACGGGACGAACAAGTCGTGCGCCTGATGGTAAGCTACACGCCAGTCCATAACAGTTGCAGTGACACTCGGTGCTTTAAATCGCAAAGATCTGAGAGGCATTGCCACTGCGCCCGTCACCCTGAGACATAAGTTGACAAGTCTCATGTGCCTGTAATTTCACCAGCACCCTTACCCTTCTAAATCGGTACGCAGTAATGCTAACATTACGGCTTGGCGGCAGCTATAAGTAAGGTGGCAGTACTTCCCTAGATGAACACTTTCACAAGGAGCTCTACTGCTGCAAATTTAGGTTAATTAGCGGTATAATATTCCTCTCCTCACTACTACCATATCTGACATTTTTTCAAACGAAACATTCTCCATTAATCGCACATCTACCTTTTTTATGTGAACGAAACTACATGCTCTAGATTTAAGATAGAAAACTTGTGAACAGAAAAAATATGTAACGTTACCCGTGTGTTTCAAAACAATTCTTTCAAATCAAAATAGTATAATGACATCCATTCAATTCGATCACCCTGTTCAACCTTATAATGCTCTAAGGCTGAGATTTATGAAACAAACTTTGATTTCGACACGAAGTGCCAGGGCCGATCTTGAAGTCTTTAAACAGGTTTCGGAGTTAGTTTGGCCGGAGTAAGGACAATTTGTTCAAGTGGGAATTTTCGGATGGTTCTAACCCGTTCTCCGTCCGAAACGATTACTGTCAAATAAATAAAAGTCGATCAAATTAAAAAAGTATGATGCGAATGAAGCTTCGTACTTTGACATTGTCTTTTGATTTACAATAAATAATAACAGAATATCATCATAGGTACACTACATAATAAGCAATTTTAAATAGAAAACCATCGTGAGACTCAGACAAATTAACTAAAAAATAACGGATAACTCACGTATTTAAGTTGAATTTTTGCTCGACATGTTTCGAACCAAAAAAAAGGATAAGGAGCCAGTGAATGTTCCCGGTCTACACAGGCTGTATATTTGAAAGTGAGACATATTCATGCATGTCATAGTAAATCATGTTACAACTTAACATAAACTAAAATAAAATTAGGATATATGATAGAACAAAGAATAAATCAACAAATTTGTTTTGGAGTGTACATAGGAATAAACCGATTTCCTTTACGCTTGATTTCGAATACATTGGGAATACTACCAAACGAGCTCCGAGTGAGACAGCAACAATAACAATGATTTCACATCTCTCTCACCTACTCATTTATGTTATGATGAAAAAGCTGTTATCGAAACGATTACGTTTTAGCTTATGTTAATTATTTTTTACTTATGAACTATCATCGAAATGTTTTGCGTACTAAAAAAGATAATTATGTTATCATTTAATAAGAATTGAGGTTTTTGGCGTAGTTAAAAAAGTGATGATATATTTTTTAGTTATTTACGGTTTTTATACACTTACGTGGTACAGAGCAAGTGTTCAAAATGTCCACCGTTTTCCACGATGCATAGTCTAGCACGTCGTAGTAAATTTTGTTTTAAATTGATCAACACAAACACATTTTGTTTCACAGTATAAAATGCGAAGATAATCCTCTCATGCAACATCGATACTGTTCACCTCCTCCGCGTAAACTCCAATTTGGAAACATTTCAATAGCTCGCCTCACACTATCACCACTTATTACGTAAAGTCGCACCATCTCAGTCAATTCGACGTTAGAATAAGCACTGTCTCTGCAAACAGTACCGACCTGTGCTTTTTTTTCGCCGCCGCGCCTCTCGCCGCTACGTCTGTCGTATGAGCAATAATAGTGGTGTGTAGATTTCGATAAGTAATGTTGTTCACAAGTAGTAAAAAAAGTTCAAAAGTCGATAAAAAAAAAAACATTTTTTTGTAAAGTTTACGTTCATTATCGAGTTCTTAGGTTTTCGCGATTGTTACACATAGGAAATGAAACTATTTCTCCGGATTTAAATCGCGTATATTTGTTTTTTCAAACAAACCGACGTTTCGGGCCCTTTACAGGTCCCATGGTGACGGTTGACATCAGTCAACAAATATACGCGATTTAAATCCGGAAAAATAGTTTCATTTCCTATGTGTAACAATCGCGAAAACCTAAGAACTCGATATGTACACCAGTACGGATTGGACGTTGCAAATAAAATCCGGCGGTTCGAAGACCTCAAGAACAAACGTGCGCGCGCCCTAACTGCATTAACTTTTCTCAAAAAGTGCCGCGACAATAACATAGTTCCAACATGCGTTAAAATAACAAGTTCATTAGTTTATTATGTTTTTGGGTTCAGAATCAGGAATATAACGCACTCGCACACTTCAAATATACAGCCTGTATAAGATTCACTGCTCCTGTGGCAAGAGTTACATAGGAAACGACTGACGGAACACATACGTAGTATGAAGAACCGGGACAATCGGGGCTCTGCAGTGACGGAACACTCATTGGATTCGGATTCGACGCACTATATTTGTTTTGATAAAGTGTCCTTACTGGCGAGACAAATGCATTTCATTCCTCGGAAGAAGTACGTGAAGCTATCGAGATTGGTCGTCATTCGAATTTCAATCGTGATAGTGGATAGTAGGTTCAACCCCGCTGGAAAATAGTGTTAGGTACTACGTCATTGGTGAGTGTACACGAAACTTTACAAAGTGTCGTTGTTAGTGTAGTGGGCAATCCTGCATATCTTTACTCTTTACTCTGCATGACTTTAGTAAAAATGAAGCAAACGAGGGTAGTTTCTCGCCGACGCGGCCTGCGCCGCTGCCGTACTGAGTGATCGGGCTGCCAGGGCTTTGGCGCGCAGTTTCCGTCGAGTCACCGCCGCGGAATCTCATCATTAAGAACCACGAATTGGTTCAAAACATGTCCTGCAAAAATTCGACTTAGTTTCGTGAGTTACCCGTTATTTTTTAGTTAATAATAAACAATCATAAAAATATGTAGATAGATACACGTAACATATAAATAATAATATTAAATACTTATAAGTAATATGAAGTATAATTATAGGAAATAAATGAAAGGATAGTAAAGGAAAGACGAAACTTAGTGCGTGAGGAAGTAATCCTTGACGCGCTGTTTGAAGGAATCAAGAGAAAGGGATAGTTGAATCGATTCAGGGAGAGAATTCCACAATCTGATCGCAGAAACGGTAAAAGAGTTGGAATAAATGTTACAGGTATGAGAGGGTTGTTTAGCGAAAGGGACGGCAGCGTGTAGAAGAGTGGAAAGTAAAGCGATCTTTAAGATTTCGACTAAGAAAAAATGGCGAGAGAAATTACTTCATAATTTCATACCATACACAATCATACCATTGTAATCTCAGTTTAAGTGCACAACTAACTAAGTGCAAATGTGTTATGTTAGCGTTTGTCTATTTTACATAAAAAGGATTGGCTTCTCTTTTTAAAATATCCACCTTTCGCCACTTGAGCATTGAATTAAAAAAATTTATGAGCATCGACAAATTGACAACATGACATATAATACAATGTTTAAGCAAGTCTAAAAAATATATATAAAAAAAACAAAACCCGACTGCTAAAATACTTAGC